AAGAATTGTTTTAATTATTATATTATCTATACTGAATATTTCTATATTTCTAACACTTTCTTTTTATAGTCTCAGTAGTATCACTGACTATATCTGGCTGTGAAACGTGGGCATAGCTGGCCGAACTGGCATAGAAAATAAAAACTATTGTAATTATTTTCTGTACTTTGTTTAGGCTTTCTAATTTTATGTTGAATCCCGTTTTTGTCAATATCTTTAAGAAATAAWTAAATAAATTCCTATTCGCAGTTCATTCGTTCCGTCGTTCCCATTCGTCTCACTTCTATAACAAACTCGATTATAATTTTGTCACATTTCAGACTAGGTTTATATTGAACGACCTGACGTTTTGATGTCATATTGAGCTGGATTACTAAGGATGTCAATATCGCATCTGTGGTTAATCTGGTTACAACTGCTGTGTCTGTGGGCGTGGGGAGCAAGTGCATATTGCTGTCACCCACAAATCATTAGGTTTCATCCAAAATGTGATGTTTCCTGTGGCTTCTTGTATCCAGCATTCGACGCTGAGGAGAGTTGTGTTGCAGTTTTGTGTGGAGGTCTAAGAAAGGCTTCGCCCTGCTGTGGAGGCAGATGCAATATCTACTGCTGCAATTGTGACACTGGCTGTTATGGTGGAAATCCCATAGGAGATTTTTATGCAAAATATCGGTTATTCCTGCACTTATTACCTTTACTTAATTAATTAACTGAAATAAAAACGTCATAGTAATGGGGAGACTGTTTATCAAAAGGGGGAAAATCTGGATTTGAAATAGGTATATGCCTACTATACAACAGCTTGTGATAATCTCCATATTATATTTCTTCCGTACCGAAATCTCTTGGCTTATGTAGTTCTATAATTTATGTTTAATACCCTGAACACATTGAAAATGGGAAATCAGGGAATAATGGTTTTGTGAAAAGTATGTAACAGGCAGACGGGATCGTTGCAGACCCCATAAAGAGCAAGAGCTCAAGGCGACGAGCTGAGTCGATATAGCCCTGTCCATCTGTTCGTCCGTATGAGCAAACCGATCTCAGAATATATAAGAGCTAGACAGCTGAAATTTGGCATGCATACTCGTGTATACCATATGCAGTACAAGTTTTTCTTATTTTAACTCATCCGATAACTTTTTTATCGAGAATAATCGAACTTTTTCAGCCTAATTTGAACACTTTTAGACCTGGAGACTTCAAATTTGCGTTGTATATAAAGTTAATGGATATACAGATTTTTTATACCACGCCTTCTTCGCTCTCAATTTTTAAAAACGCGTTTCAAGTACTAAAGACTTGTGCTTTGGAATACCACACACCTTTTAACCATTTGATCACGCTCTGCAAGTTTCATAAAGATAGTCTGTAGTAGGAGAGATATTATTCAACTAATAAATTCTCATAATATTGCCCACACTGCAGCGCAGCCCAAGCGAAGTCGCTGCTTACTGCGCAGTCAGCAAAACGCGTGATTATACGTACGTGTGGATGCCTGTGTATGCATGTCTGCATAAAAGAAGTGCGGAATGAGTAGAGTATCAGCTTAGAGGGTTCAGGGTTCGACTGGAGCATTCTTACTTGTTTTCTATCGACTTGCGCTGTTTGATCTCTTATGTAAATCCTTAACAATCTTCAAATTTTACACTCAAATCAATCGTTATTGAATTTAACTTTACTTGACAAGTCCGAATGTGTTTTGATTGATATAACATTTAATTTATACATACATATATATAAAGCTAAGTAGGACCATATAAGACCTCCTATTCGTAGTCGCAATTAAAACTTATAACTTCTCAGTCGCAGTTCATCCGTCCGTCATTCCCATTCGTCTCACTTCTATAACAAACTAGATTATTATTTTGTCATATTTCCGATTAGGTTTATATTGAAAGACCGGACGTTTTGACGTCATACCGAGCTGGAATACTTACGATGTCTATATCGCACCTGACGTTGATCTTAATACAACTGTTGTCTCTGTGGACGTGGAGTACAAATGCAGACTGCTGTACATCAACAAGGATTTATTTTAAAACTAGATGTGGAGTTAGTTGCGGCTACGTGCACCTAGGTGATTTTGATGCCATAAGGGGCTCATGTGTTGCAACTGTGTGTGGAGGTACAAATAGGCCTACGCCCTGCTGTGGAGTTGAAAAGTGCAATATTTTCTGCTGCAACTGTGATCGGGGCTGTTGGGCTGGAAACC